TATTAAAATCTGATGATATTACAGCAATAGAAATAGGACAAAATGAAGGATAATAAAAAGATATTTCAGAGTGGAACAATTAAGTTTTTAATGAGTTAAAAAATATATTAAATTTCTTTGTATTATCTCAGTGAAAAGACTATTTGCTTCAAAAAGGACAAAAGATAGAAAAGAAAATTTTAATTTCTATATAGGAAGAGAATAATGGAAGCAATTCAGGAGCGGATTGACAAGGAGAATGTTAATAATAATATTATCATTTGTAAATAATAATAGTAGGATGTATAATATAGGTTTGCACCAAAATGACCAAGAATAGATAACACTCATCAATGGCTCCGAGTCCAAGTATTATTCTCTTCGTATTCATTACTGATAATAATAATTGCAATAATAATAAATAAATTTTAAAAAAAGTCCTGACAAGTAAAAACGAAAAAAGTTGATGATATAATCCATTCCATGAGTTCCATCGTCTTGCCATTCAAGTGATGGCGATAATATTGTTTAACGAAATGTTACCAAAGTTGTAAAACTATTGTGTCGAATTTGCTGCCCTTAAGTCAAAAACGACGCAAGTAAAATTATTTTAAAGGCTAATACTAAATATAAAAATACTTATAAATATATTCCAAGGTCTTTTTTTATATTTTCCTTGTGTGTTCCAATCTCTCCTTTGTTCATCAGTTGTTCTCAAGAAGCTAAGCCTTTCTTTTGCTGTTTACTACTAAACTCGAACATTTCTTATTAACATTAATAACATGAGATAAAATTGGTACTTTATATTCTAGGGTCAAATGAAAATTTTACGCTTTTATAATTATTATCAAATTACTGTGTAAATAATGGAAGTTTTTATAATATCAATATTGATTAAGTTATTTTGCAATAATAAACCAATCTTTATCTTTATCCTTCAACAAAAATTTCTTAAGGGTAACACTTCGGGTCTTTGCTTGAAAAGCATAACTTCAGGTCTAAGCAGAGGAAAATAATAGATAATTACCATTCTAATAAAATAAAGTTCTGATAGAATCATTATTTTTATTAAATAAAATTAATCGTTAATAAACTTTTAAAAGATAAAAATAAAAAACAAAAACATTGACTTTATTTACTTTGTTTGATAAAGCAACAAGTGTAGTTAACGTCTTGGTAAAATGTAACAATTGTGGAGCTTTGGTAAAAAGCCGCGCTTATTTGCTTTAGTGGGCAAGCAAGCAAACAAGCTATATACTTGATTCGTGATCTATCAGTGAAGGAAAGGATCTACATAATAATAATAAAATTCCGTATTATTTGCAATTAATATTAACTGACAAGAGTTGACCATAATTGTTAATTTAACCAAAATGATATCTCACAATACCACCATTTAACAAGAATCAAAAAATCATAAAAAGTTTATTATAAGAAATATTATTATAATTTAGCTTTGAGAAATAAAGTAAGAATAAAATAAAAAGATAAATAAAAGATAATAATAAATTTATAGTAGAGATTAAATTAATCGTTCTCTTTTTACTATTGTTACTAGAATTTATTGTTTGTTAGTAATTCAATTAATCAATAATTATTGCTTAACATTCTAGAAGAAAGGTTAAAATCAAGATTATTTAACGAACTTGTATAAGTTTTTAAGCTTTTAGATTTGGCAATCTTTTCATCCAATATTCTACTTGTATGATATGCATCTGGATGTGATTTGTGTACTTGTTACAAATCACTACCATCATTATTAAAATCAATTTCATGTTTTTTGATTTTAGAAAACTTGAATAATCTTTTTATTATTGATTTTTCAAATTTTTATTTTCAAAAGTTTCATTATGTTTATTTCTAGAAAAAATAATAAAGCTCTCCACTAGTTGGTCTTTTTGGTGGATCCACATCCCAACACCTCTGCATCATTTGCACATAATCGGCAGGCAATCCAGGTAATATTGGTGGTCGTAAACCTTCACATATATCAAAAATCAAATGACGATTGTGAGCTCTATCATCAAATGGTGGATGACTTGCAAATATTTCCCATATTAACATCCCAACACTATAGATATCTGTTTCTTTGGTGTTCTTTTTGCCTCTAAATAGCTCAGGTGCAATATATGGTACAATTCCATAGACTTTATTTGATGACTTTTCATCAACTGGTCCACATAATCCCAGATCTGTAATATAACAATGTATTAAATCTTTTTCATGTATATGATATAATGCATTACATAAACATTTAAAGATTGTAATTCTGTCTCTTAATGTTAAATGACTTTTTTGCAAATAACCCTTTAAATTTCCCTCTGGAACATAAGATAAAACTATTGCATAATTTCCATTATCTGGGAATTTAGTTATACCATGGCAGCTAACAATTAATTGTGATCTAATTTTACAATAATTCAATGCCTGAAAATAAATAAAATAAATACATTAGTATTTATTATATAAACTGTATTGTTTATTTTGTTTTAAATGACAACTACCAACCTCGTCAAAAAATCCTTTTTATCATAATCACTTGTTCTTCCTCTTGTCTAAGTAGCAGTAAAATCGAACTAAATTCATCTTTAGTTAACTTTGTTACTTTTTCAAATTGCTCAAAAGGTATCCATTCTAAAATGTGAGTTGGCAGAGACGATTTCATTTGAAATGTTGAATAAAATCATCAATTATGTTATTTCCAGATGTTCAAATGGTGAAAAGTCTCTGTAATTTTAAACTAATACAACCTTCACAGTATCTCTCAGAGTATTTTGTCAATTTACACCTGTCACATGCTTTTTGATTTGACTTCTTTATCTCTAGCATTATCTAATTCAAAATTATAAATAAACCTTTTTTTACAATGTTCTTTTTCACTTTTAGAAAGTTCCTTTTTTTTTGATTAATGAAAAAAAAAATCTTTTCTACTTTCCCTATCAGAGTTAACATTAATATTATTAATTGTTTCACTATAAATTTTATGTACAAATTCCTTTCTTTCTAGTGATAATGATGATAATAGTTTAAAATGTGACATTATATAAAATATAAAATATAAGGTGTTTTAATGAATAGAGTGGAAAAGTGATGGTTTTTTTTCTTTTGAACTGAATAGCATGTAACAAAAATTTTCTGTCCTCTTTTTGTTTCCTTATTACTGTCATCATATGGTAGTGTGCACCTTTTTCGGATTATTAACAAATTTTGAATTAAGAACAATTTTGACATCAACAAAATTCATCATGATTCTAATACTTTAATAATAAATATTTTTTCTTTTTTCTTCGTTTATTATTTTTACCCTTCAAAATTAAGAAGACTTGTGTATGAGTTCAATGTCTCCCACCATGGATCATTCTGATATTGAAGATTCCAATATATCTGCTTCATTTTTCTTCTCCCTTTGATGCTGGCTTTACCTGAAACTATTTTAAATAGATGAAACTAAATCAAAAGTCAAAACTAGTTTCAATTTATGATGACTTTTGTAAACTTATAGTTGCGGCCAACATTAGTTTAGCCCCTGACATTGAGTTCAGATTTATTATAAAAAAAACTGATTTATCAAAAATATTTTAAATATTTGACTTTCTTATGATTAAAATACATAATCGGTGGTAATTTTCCTTGATGGAAAATGTCTATTTCTTGAAGAGCTAATATTGAATAAAATTGAAATTTGAAGAATTTTACGGGTCTATAATCACGCGTATTTCTTTTTTTGATCTGATGACCACAGAGTTTTCAAACTATATTATTACAACGTGTGAGTTAACCTTAAAACATTTGATTTTCTAAAAATATATACTTTCTATAAGAACGGTTAAAAAGAATTCAAAAACAAAAACAAAAAATTTATAAAATGCAGCATTATTATTATTATTATCACACGTTGGCACCTTTCTATTTATATTTCTTAGAACATTGTCATCATAAACTGCTACTCTATTGACTAGCTCGGTTTAATTAATTTATTGATAGAGAGAGATTCAGAAGATACACACAGGCTCAGAAGACAGCATCAGGAAACATTATTTGTAATACATTATACTTTCATCATCTATACTCTATAAAATTACATTACATTGACATTTTTTAGTTATCATTTACAAAAAAAAAAAATTAAAAATTAATGTTATTATTATTGTTTTATTGCTCACAAACAAACAAAAAAATCAGTATTAGTATATAGTAAATTTAATTTAGGACTAACACTAATTGGTTCCGTTTATATTTTTAAAATAAATATTTACAACTAATTGGTTCAACTGAATCACGTGGTCAGGTTGTGGATGTTACACGTGCATATAACCATTTAGTCCAAAATGTATAAATTCATTTAATTCTCGGAAAAAAAAATAGAATGAAAACGATTTCTTGTTAAAAAAAATAATAAACCATTATTTATAACAATAACCTTTTTACGCGCATTATTAATAAATAAAACAAAATAAATTTCACACATCTTGATTTTTAACAAAAAAAAAACGGATTATAATAGATTTTATATAATAATATCTTCATTTCGTTATATATTAAATAATAACATTATTACTGTTTTAGAAATTGATTGATTTTTTATTTCTTTGATTACTTTTTGATAAAAATGGGAAACTGCTGTTGTGGTGCTGCTGTAGGTGTTTAATTTATTAGTTGTTTTTTTTTTTTTTTTTTTGAGTTTTAACGAATATAAAAAATATTTTTTATATCAATTAAATGATAATTTTAGCAGCAGAAACTTTGTATAAATTGTAAGGTAATTTGAATATTATTATTTAAATTTATTTATTTGTATATATAAAGTAAACTTACGTGAATATAATATATTTATATTTATATAGGAAAAAGAAGCATACACAGGTTCACTTTGGTGCTCAAAACATTGTAGAAATCAAACTCCAAACTGGCAAAGATTGACGAATGAAAAAAGTAAACGACTTTGCATATATTGTAAAAGAAAAAATGCGCTTAAAGGAAGTGATTTTTGTTCTAATGATTGTGAAATATCTATTAAAAGAATGGGTATATATATTTTTTCTCTTTGAATCAAATTATAGCTTCGTGTTTGTCTATTTACAATAACAAAAACATTGATTTTTTTTTAGCTCCATGTTTGTTGAGGTTGCCATCAGATGGTCAAAAATACAAAGATATAACTAATCAATTTATAGCTGCTTGGAAACACCCTGGAAAAACTCCACCGGAAGTTGCTGATATATGGAAGATCTTTTGTTCAGAAAATTTAAATACTCGGTATAATATGTATCGTAATGAAGTTGAAAATCAACGTAAATTTGCTGGTAAATTTTTCGGAAAAGGTGAGGGAAAACGTAAAATGAGTGCAGGAAATGAACAAAGAAGATTTCATGGAACAAAAACGTTCGTACCGACTATCATTGTTGTTGTTGTTATTATTACTATTATTATTATTATTTAAATTATTATTAACCTTGGCAGTATTTTTTTAGGTCGTGTTATATAGGTTTAACAAGTGGTGATGTGTGTAACGGCCCAACATGTTCCGTTTGTTGCATTATAAGAGAAGGTTACAAGCTGAGATATGCGAACACCACATATCAAAGATTTGGCAGAGGTATATATTTCTCTGGAACATCATCCAAATCTGATGATTATAATGAAGGCTCATTAAAATATTCTCAAGGCTCAAAATACAAAGTAATGATATTGAATAAAGTTGTTGTTGGACAAGGATATCAATTAACTAAAAATAGTATGAATTTAACTGAACCACCAGCAGGGTTTGATTCAATATTAGGTGAACCAAGTGATACTGGCAACTTAAATTACGATGAAATTGTTGTATATAGAGAGGAATCATCCATCCCTCAATATTTGATTGTTTACAAAGTTTAATAATAATTTAGAGTAACTTATTTTTTTGTTTAAATCATGTATTATTTTTTTATTTTTAGAATCTGTATTATTTGTTTATTTGTTTATTTGTTTATTTATTTATTTATTTACTATTTATTTATTTATTTAATTTCGACATGGCAACATTAATTCATAAACAAAATGTCTGTTACAACCATCAACTACTAACTAATTTATGTCAGAAAGAATAATGTTTACATAATCACAAAGATTCATTTAAAAGTTTGTATATTTTAACATTTAAAAAAATGTCACGGCTAAATCTCACTAGACATTTGTAAATCTACGATAGAAGAATCACATTTTTTCGTTCTTCAATTACAGTCCACCTTTAACCACAACTTCAAATTTGTCAAATACATGTATCAAAGGTTCTTTAAACATTCCAGTGGTTGGATTGAATCCAATACAATATGCATATAGGATCCCAGATTATATATACAGATACGGCTAAAAGGTTTATTATTACTGCGGTCATTGTTGTATGAGTTTTTTGAGGTCCAGGCAACATGATGGTTGTATATACAGCAAAATTTTTGAGCATGAGTAACAATAATAAAGTAATTCAGGCAACAAAAATAATTGTTACGTTGAAATTGCTTATTAAAGTTCGCATGGGTATAGCAGCCCTATGTATATATTTTGATTACTAAGTCTCGTTCAATAATAATAAAACATGTATATTTACAAGTGAAAACGCTGATGTCAAATTTGCTAGATTTTATCAAATGTGAGAGTATCCAATGAAGCAGATAAATAGCCACATCAAATTAAAAGTTGTTAAATTTACTGAGATAATATTAAGAATTATAACTTTTGATAATAGAGTTACCACTTCAGACACCAATTCTTTTGATATTCCGATGAAGGATTGGAAATCTTTTACGATAAAAATATTTAGAAACGAAGAGATTTTTTTGGGAAGGTGATTTTGTAAAAGAAAATATGGGAACGTCATTGCGGTCTTTGACAAAAATTACTAAATTTATATACTAATACTTTATTTTCAAACACGTTTGATATCACTAAAGATTGATAACATAATTTGCAAATATAGAATTATTTTAAATTTATATTTTCTACAACATATGTTTTAATTGTTTTGGCCTCCATTATTATATCTATTACTTAAACCGATATATCGCTTGACAATGTACAGTCAAACTTTGCCACAACGGACATAAGGAAATTTCATTTAAAATCCGTTATGTCAAAATTACTAATAACGGATTTTATGTTTTTATATTAGATATGTGAATATAAATCAAAAAATTTTAAAATCTGTTATAACGCAACTTTATAACCGCTGTGCAAGTTTGACGATAGTTAATTTTTTTATTTTTTTTTGTTTAAAAAAGAAAGAAATTTTTCTGCTCGCTTTTCAATATAATGACATACAATTAGTTTACCGCCAAGGGTTATAGACCGTAAATGTTTTATGAAATTTATACAGTCATTTCAAACCGTGTATTTTTCAAATGTTTATTGAAAATAAATAACAAATGCAAAATTTACAAAAAAATACAATTATTAAATTAATTAAAATCAACATAATCGATATAATAATTATTTGAATTTTGAATGAATACTATCTCTTATATTATAAAATCTAGAGGTTCTTTGAGGTGGAATAGGGAATATATGAGCAAGGTTGGTTGAACTAACTCTATTTGTATTATTATTTCTACCACCACCATGATTATTATGATTAGCATTATTATGATTAGCATTATTATGATTAGCATTATTATTATTATTATTATTATTATTATTATTATTATTATTATTATTATTATTATTATTATTATTAAAGGAATCGGTAGTGTTTCTTTTAGAATATCCAAATTTATTATAATCTATTTTTAATACGTAAGAAGATATTCTATTTAATTCAATCACAGGTGGTTTATTCGGAAGTTTTTTGGTCGATCCAAGAGAATTTCCATTATAGTCAATTCCACTGCCAACAACAGTGCTATCATTGAAATGAGCATTGTTTTTATTATTAGCGGTACCATCACTGCCACCATTACCAATATTTAACCAATGATTATTGTCGTCTAAATGTGATGGGATGGTTCTGGGTTGTATCATTAATCCATCTTCATTTAGTTTTCTCAGTTTCTTATAATATAAATATTTACGATATAGTAAAATTCCTATTATAAGGAATACCAGCACAACTATTGAAACCATTATTGCTACGGCTATTGGACTTATTCGGGATATGGGATCTTGTTCTTTAACATGATTATCATCATCATTTTTTTTGTCATTACTATTATCACTATTTACAGTTATTGGTTTTGGTGATGGTGATGGTGGTGGTGGTAGAGGTGTTGTTTGAATTGACGTTATCGTTTGTATTGGTGTTAATGTTGGCGTTGGCGTTGGCGTTGATGTTTTTCGAGGTGTTCGAGCAGCTTTGGTTGTTTTATTTGCTTCATCAGATTTGGTAATGCCGGCATCTCTTTTTTTATTTTTCATTAAATTATCACTTCGTCCAAGATTTACCATATTTATATCATTATTCTAATATATATATATATATATATTGAAATGGGTAATAATTAATGGAGAAAAGGTGAATTATAATGACGAATAATAATTTTCTTGGTGAACGTGGAGAAAAATGAAACAACGGTTGGATGACGTTTTGATAATAAATGAATTAATTGGACTGATGATGTAACAACCAAAAGAAATGTTGTAAAGAAAGAAAGTAAGTTTGTTAAAAAAAAGACAAAAACCTCCTAATAACGGTAAAAAAAATTTTTTTTTTTATCATAAAAAATGCGAATTCTAATTTTATTTATAAAAAATTTTTGTGGAATTATTAATTAATTAACTAACCAAAATAATAATATAAAATATACAAATTTGTATTTATAAATAATTTATATTGTGATATTGCGTGGTGTATGGTGCAGATCATCTAAAAGACATAAAAAAAAATGGCCAATCTTTAAAATGCCAAGGCTCAATAACTATATTTGGAAGCGAGAAAAAACTTTCTCACATTCGCAATCTTTAAAACCTAATACTAAGCGGAAAATGTAATAGAAAATTTTTTATCAATAAAATTGCACGATTTTACTATCAAAAAATTTGAATTTGGCCAATGAGATTTACCGGTGATACTTTCTATTTATATTTAAGAAAGATTTTACTACGTATAGATCGCGTGACCAGAATAAATCAATCTAAATTATCTATTTATTGTACGTAGCAAATTAGATTAAACGAATTTGCTTCACTTGCCACGCTGACTTCCCATTTAAACAAACTCAATTCCTCCTATATTATTCAAGGTATGTACGTACGCCCCCTTGGCTTCCCAAAATATTCTTGTTTCTAGCAATATTGATTGGCTAATTTTGGCGCGCTGAACAAGTATTGAGTCATGTGATTTTATAATATTATGACGTAAGTATATCATTGCTTATTTTAGATGATAATTAGCCATGTGGTGCAGCATTTGACACCAATTTGTAGGTGCACTTATCAAAACAAATAAGCTCGTCACTCTTTTGAGAAATATCAAACTCTACCTGCATATTAATATGCGTGCAACCCACCTAATGAATTAAATAAATGAACACAAACACTATTCGTGTCCTGTTTTCAATTTTTTTTCTAAAAGAAAAACTTTTCCGAGAAAAAGTTCTTCTAACTCATCATCTCTTTCCTATAAACGTATTATAGAAAAATAAAAAATCATGCAAGTTTACAAAACATAAAGAGATCAATCAACAAATAGAAACATATGTGTCGATTTTTATACTCATCATTAAAAATCAGTCCATATGAATTTTCAACTCACCTCGGTACCATTGCACCCTCCTGATTCCATCGCCAATGCATTACATCGAATAATTCATCTGACACATGGCCGAGACTTGGAATGTTCTATTACAATAATCATATAATATAGCGCACATATAAGCATATTAAAAACAAAATAAATTCTCTTGCTCTTTGGAAGAAAATTATTTACAGATCCTATTAAGTAAATATAAATACAAGAAATCAATCAAAGTTTAGATATAGTCTCCAGGCACATAATTATATTTAAATATTTCCTAAAGTAAGAATCCTTGCAATATGAAAAATAAACCTATAAATCCCCTATGTTTCCTAATATTGCCTCCATCTATTGAGTAAATAATTGTTATTTAATCCGTAAAAGTTGTAATTGTGTTTTAATAAATATTGTTGGATACTATAAATTAAAAAATAACGAGCCAAAAAAATAATAAATATATATGTGTGTAAAAATTATTGAATAAAGTCTTCTTTGTGTTGATTACAATTATAATTTATTAGAAATAGTTTTACAAAATACATATGGTATTTTTATAAATAAATTTTAATCTCCGAATAGGTATCATTACGCAAATATATTGGTAATAGGAAAACAATAGTAGTATCGGGGAGATATTATTAACAAACTAAAAAGACCCCCCAAGTGCAGACCCCCAATAATAAATGCACACTCTCATCCATTCCAAGTTCATGATTAGAGATAAATGCGCGCACGCACACACGCACGCACACACGCACGCACTCTGCACTGCACGAAAAATAGTTAAAGAATATAAAAAAATAATTATTATATATAATTAACAAAAAAATAATAACGATATTATATAATTAACAAAAAGATATTATTAACAAACCAAAAAGATTAAAAATAATTAAATATATGAAAAAATAATAGTGATAATTAACAAACTAAAAAGATAAAAAAAAGCTATACTAGTAAAATAACTGATTAAATTATCGGAATTGGAAGAGTCAAGAGAAAGTCTGATAGAAAAATTTCCGTAATGATAAAAAGTTGATCGACGTAATAACAAATAATCAAATAAATTCTATTTGAATAGGTTGTTGTTTTGGGAGGATCCTCAAAATGCATTGCTTAAAGAACATCCAGAAAATTGGTTTAATGTAAATTTGTGGGGATCCCTCAGAGACCTCATCATTAGAAATGTACCTGGATTTGACAATATAAGGTATATCACCTATCTTCTTGTAGTCACTATTTTACAACATCTGTATTAATATACTGTAAAGACTAGTGCTGTAATCCAAAAAAGGAAAAAGTATGGTTGCAAAAGTGGTTGCAAAGGTAATTGCAATCACTTTTTATATGCTGTAATACAATTACTGCCATCATAATTTATGGCACTAGTCTTTAATATACTGTAATTATTATTAGATCAGAAACATGTAGCAAATCCTCTTCAAAACGTAAAAACTTGTTTCAAAAATTAAACCAAAAGAAAAAATTTGGTAGAAGAATAGATGGCATAATATCTAAAAAAAAATGGTGAATATGGTGCTGATGAAGCTGCCAATGGATGGTATGATGAAACTGAAACTAAATATTTGAAAAACTGATAAAGGTACTTAAAGAAATGTTCACAGACCTATCAAAAAAAATAGACAATAAATTTGATCTACAAATACATGGAAATTTACATCTAGGTAAGTTAATTGTTTCATTGGGATTGCATACCTTAAGCTACTTATTTATTTTATCATATCATTAATCATCCATTTGATGTAATCATCTACAGGAAGGTACCAACAGATGGTCAGAATGTACTCACCTTGTGGGTATGTTATGATTAAAGACTAGTGCTGTAAATTATGATGATGGTAGTAATTGTATTACAGCATATAAAAAGTGGTTGCAATTACCTTTGCAACCATACTTTTTCCTTTTTTGGAATACAGCACTAGTCTTTAGTTATGATCATGAGAAAAGAAAAGATTCAAGAGGTTCCAGAATCAATAGAAGAAATCAATAAGCTTTTATTATTAATAGCAATGAATATTCAGGAAATGGTAATATTCACTATTTCTTTTGGCTTGCTATTTATTATAGGTTAACATTTATTTATTTATTATTTTTTTTTGCAATTTCATGTGTCTAGTTGATTGTGAAAAAGTTGAACAATATAATTAGCACAAAAGTGGATTCAAAAGATAAGTTCCTGGAAGAGATTGAGGAGATTTATAATGATCAAACCACCAAAAGAGTTTTTGGTGGAACATTCACCACACCAATTAACAATTGTGCATTGTTATTATTTGAAAGATAATTGATATTTGTCTGCCTGTTAAGAAAACTATTTTAAAAGAGTCTTTATTGAGGAGTTGTGTGATCTTTAAAAAATTGAAATTGTAATTGAATTGATTGTAAATGCTAAAACTGAATAAGTTATATTGAAAAATAATATGTGAATAATAAAAATTGCTAGTATCTTGAATGTATATAAATATGAAACACTGTACATTATCTCACACCACTACATTGTGGAATAATGAGCAGGTTGAAGAATTCCTTTCAAATCTAAACCATACATGTTAGCCAAAATTAATTCTATTAGTAAATGATCATTGTCAAATTCAAAATGCCAAAATAGCTTTTCATAATAGCTGAAATTAATTTCAATAGCGGCCAAAATTGTATCCAAAATTATTTGAATTCCTTGATTCAATAGCCAAAATTCTGGGTAGTTTTTTTAAAATAATTAATATAGAGAATATGGAAAGCCAGAATGTGGCCAAAATATTTGGCAAATGCAAAAACAATTTTGGCTAACATGCATGTATGATCTAAACTAAGATCATGGGTCATAAAATAATGAAAAAATGAAAAAATGAAGTTTTTTTCAGAGTAATTATGATTGACAATCAATCTAATATGAGAATTTCCAGTTACAGTCAAACCTTGTCATAATAATAATCATATTACTAAATTTTGATCCCTGAAATTCTGGTAATACCAATGTTCACTTGGTCTGGTTTTGTTGCAGCACTCCACATATAATAATAATAAATATTTTATGTTATATATAGTGATTAGTGTACCTTAATATAGTAATGATCCAATTGCTATTCATTTGGGAGCAATTTTCATATTTTACGGCAAAAAAACAATCAAGTAATCATCAAGAGAACATTTCAAGACATGATAATGACTGGCAAAAGCTTAGCCCAGAAAAGCAAGCTTATGAATGGTTTGGATCAGTTATAGAAGTAGTTAAATCACCTAATAATAATAGTAACTCCATAATTGTAGTTGGAGCACCAGGGTATAGTAATAAGAAACAAACAGTTGGTAAAATATATGGATTTGAAATGATTAATACTACCAACAAAATTATTAAATCTTTTGATAAATTTGATTGAGTGGGACTAGTGAATTCCAGGCATTTGGAAGGTAATTAGTCCAAACATATATATATTAAAAAATAAATATGAGGAGAAGAATAACAATAATGATTCTTTTTTTATAGTTTAATAATTTCAAGCAATTTCTTAAATAATGGAAAGAATTACATCCTTATCACTTCAAAATCAGAGGTACATTAAATGATCATTGAATGATGTTTTATTAATATTTATTTAAGTTGATAGCAAATTAATCAAAATATATTTACAATATACAATAATCGTATAATGGACTGTTTCCTGGTTACAAGATATGGCAAGCAGGTGCAGTGAGATTATTAGATTTGGATTATATTAAACAAGGAGCTTTACTATATAATCTGATGAAGTAATGAAAATCGGAAATGGGTTATTATTGATAAAATATGGGCCAGAAAGTTCATCACATCTTGGTAGTTCAGTATATTGGGATGAAATTGATAGGTTGTTATTTGTTTCAGAGCCATTTACATTTTAGGGTAATTAAAAATATTCAAGTTTGTTAATATTTGGAAAATAAAAAAGTTAATGTACAATTTTTTCTGATCAAATTATAGAATCAGGAAGAGTTTATAAATATGCTATAAGTCCATCATTATTTTACAATTATAATAATGTATCATCACCATCACCACCATTATCATCATTATTACATAGTGAGAGTATTGAAGTCATTCCTAAGGAATGCATAAATGGAAACAACAACACAAGATTTGGAAGTAAAATAATAAAAAATGATTTTAATGGGGATGGTAAAAAGGATTTATTGATTGCTGCCAAGCATTCCAGTACTTCCTCAAGGTATTTATAATTATAATGATATTGATTATTATTAATTTAAAAAAATCAATTTATTTAGCTTTTAATTAATTAATTTTTTAGATTGGGAGGTAGTGTTATGATAAATTTGAGCTAATCTTAACTTTTATAATTAGAATTTATTATTTTATTAAAAATTTAATTTATTTAAATTATTATTATTCCCTCCTTTATTTATTTTAGAATATGTAGGTTATTTTTTTAATAAAATAAAAGAATAAGTCATTATTAATGATTTAATAGTGTTGTTCAAATGTACTATATAACAGATAAATTATAAATCTTTAAAGCCGTTGCGACCACCATAAGATCACATTATTAAAATCCAATAAGAAATGACAGTTAAATTAACAAATAAACAAATAAACTGTTACCTTATTTTTTGATTCACCTTGAATATCTTTTGCTGGGTCAACGTTACCATTTGGTTTTACACCAAAATGCCAACAAAATATTTCCAAATCCTTTTCACCTAAAAGTCTTTTAATTTCCAATTCTTCCCATACAGCAAATGCCCCTTCTAAAAATGTATGCGAATATACAAATAAATATTTTTTATTATTATGAAAAAATGAATAGCCGTAACTATATAGAAATATTAGAATTGCATGTTTATAATAAATTTAATGGAAGAGGGTATTTGTTTTAAGATGATAATGACATAAGAATCTGTTAAACAATCTTCCACCTTGACCATACGCAATGGCAAAACTTACATCAAACATCCTCAGTTCAGGAATCCAATTAAGAATTTTGTGATGACTGGTGTAATTGCGGAGACAGTTATAAAAGTTCGTCCAAATCCAAAACTGAAAAAATTACCATAGTTGATTGCTTGTTTGTGATTTGCATCCTCGATTTGTAATTAAAAGCACAATAAAAATTAATAAAGCACTTATGGTCTATAAAATAAATTTTCACACATACTGACCTTTACTGACGAAGAGTAAGTATAACAAACTTTGCCCACAACAATGGTCAAAAAGAGTTCAGTTGATAATCAAGTCCCTTTAGCCATGCACCTACAAAACATACTTCTTAGGCTTTATCAACCTATGAAATATGCTTTTTCGGATTCTCACCACCTACAAAACATGTATTGCACACGTTTTTTCGGCTTCTTGGCACCGGCCCTGTGCACCTCAAAACATAAATATTTCTCAGATTCTCACCACCTACCAAAACACAATAAGTGTTTCTCGGTTTCTCGGCTTCTTGGCAGATCTAGATCTAAGGGAATATTAAAAATATTTCCTTCGACTTCGATCAGGGAAACTTGTATCATCAAAGATAAGAGAAAAGAGTAACGCGAAAATCACGAGTGATGAAATGATATGGTCTGGTCAATAAAAATATATCATATACTGGGGTGTTACACATTAGTATAAACACAAACATATTAATATATAAAAAATCATATACTGCTGATCAATAGATGTAATATAAAAAATAAACAAAATTCCTCCATACCTATCAAATAGACCTCTGTTTAAAATTAGTATATAAGTACTATATACATAACTTATACTTCAAAATAAAAGTTTGTTTTTTTGTTTTTTTGTTTATAAAAAAAAGTTGTATGCAAAAAAAAGTTTTAAACAAAAATAGAAAAAAAATTTAATAAAGTTTTTAAAAATCTAAAACCTTTAAGTGGAAGTATATGTTCCAAACTTTTATTTGATACTAATTTTATAACTCTAGAAAAGAATTGATGGACTAGATAGATTTTGAAGATTTCGTAGATATATATATATATATATATGTGAAATCCGTTTTAGAAAGATCATAACATTTCTAATCTAAAAAAATTCTGCAAAATCTTACATAATGACATTGTATGAAATTTACATTATTTGGTAGCTCAGGTTATTATGTTCATGAGTATAAAAATTAGTGTTTTTGTACTATCTCAAGCTTGTTTAATTTTAAAGAAGTATATACCACAAAAACGTAACACATAATACATAATTATGAAATTAGTTACGCGTGATGAAATTAATTACAGGCGATGAAATTAATTACAAGTGACGAAATTATCCATTGCAGAAGAAATTAAAATAATTTCACGCATAATAATAAATAAATAAATGCTTTGTTTTGCTTATAAAAACACTTTTGTAGTTAGAAGAAATTAAACAGTAGGGATTAGAGTGATATATAACTCTGAAGTTTTGTTTATTTGCTTTGGTATTAACCAGTGTAGTGTTTATAGAAAATTTTCAGTTTCTTTGATTTCAAATAGCATTCATTCTGTATTATGATATTTCCATTAATTCATTCATTGTTATTCATAATTAATTTCATCACCCATAATTAATTCATAATTATATTTTTAAAAAGAAAAAGTGGCAATTAATTACAATAATTATGAATTACCTTTTATTATTTATTATTATTTCGGTCGTGTTTACTTCGTCGAAAATTATTTCGTTGACAATCATTTCGTCGAAAGTTTGTTTCATCGAAAGTTCGTTTCGTCGAAAATTATTTCACCCTCGAGCCAGAGACCGAACGAGTTAGATGCGAGGAGTGTGGGAAGTTAGTTAAGAAATTAAGTGAGGAAAGCGGGGTGTGTGGGAAGTGTGAGGAGAAATTTGTTTAATGAAGTTTTTTTTTTGTGACGAAATGAACTTTCGATGAAACAAACTTTCGACGAAATGAATCAAACCCATACAAATATTTGAAATAATGAGCATTCAAAATAATTACGAGTATCCGAAATAATATTCGAAATTCGTAATTTTGAATTAACAAATATTCGAATATGGAATTATAATTACGTTTAGGAACCCTATACGAGATCACTTCTTATGATAACAAAAAGGAACCATTTTTTTACATTTATTAATATGATGTTCTATAATAATTGTTACATTGTAATTGTCTAAAATTAGGAAATGTAAAAAATGTTATAATCATATTTGAAGAAACAAGACATGTAGGTCTAGCATAGCAGAGACTGTTGGGTTTTATAAGCATGAGATTTGGGTAAAAAATCCTCTTTTATTAAATTATAATAGTTTAAATACAAAATAATGTACAAAAAATAATAAATAAAATATATGAAAAATAAATTTATAAATGATTTATTTGTGAAGTGTGAATGTTGTTAAATGATGGTTTGTTATAATAAGGGGCATTGTATTGAGGAAAAAAGTTATTCGGATACATTTCCGAATATGATTGATTGGGAATTATATTAATATTAATGTCCTTAGTTGATGAATTATTGTAGTTTGAATTTCTTTGTAATTCCACGTTATTTGAAACTATTAAGTTTGGTTGTAGTAGTGGATTTGAATTAACACTGTTGGAAAGTTTGTTTTGCTGTTGATATTGCGGTATTGAATTAAGCAAATTTGCAAGAGAAACAAAATCAAAGCTTTTCAAAAAGTTAGGATCGATCTTGGACATATCAATATTTGGATAATTAGAGTTAGTAAGCTCGGGAGAAATAGGTTTATTGTTATAATCACGTGATAATCTCTGTTCAGCGGCATTAAAGTCTTTATTTGGAATTTTATAAGGATTTGGTCGGTTCATTGATCGTTTTTCTTTAATTTTATCATGACGGTGAGGTTCACCATAATTTTTCTTTTCATCAATTTCCTTTTGATACGAACAATAATGATCAAGGTCGACGTAATAATTGGTAACAGGCGAGTATTCTCTATCGTAATCAATTTGAGGCTTTTGGGCTTTTCCTTGGATTGAAAAATTATGATTATGATTATGATTATGATTATGATTATGATTATGATTATGATTATGATTATGATTATGATTATGATTACGATCATGATTACGATTATGATTATGGTGTTTTTTATTACGGAATACTTCTAATACTATGTACAATGACAACAACAACGACAACAATAAATAATAACAATGTTAGTTACAGTATTGAAAGTTAAATAAATAAATTTGGTTGATATTCTATATTAATATTAATTATTTACCTAGTCTTGATCCATTGAAAATTCTACCATTTTCTTTTTCAATTGCATTCTTTACACTTTCAACATTTTTGTATTGAATTAACGCATGATTATACACATTTCTATTAACAAATATTTGTAATATTTCACCATATTGACTAAAAATATCGTAAAACAAAATTTCCCATTTATTATTTGTAAGAAACAAATTTTTCAAGAACAAACATGTACCAACAGGTAAATCTTGAATATCTGGATTATTTAATTTAAGTGATTTAATTAACGGGATTTTATGGTTATTAGTAGTTATATTAGTTGTTGATGATAACAATGGTTCATTTTTTACAATAACATTTTGTGATGATGAATCTTGAGCATTATAGAATCTATCCTTGGATAAAGAATATTCGTTATATGGTAAGACAGTAGTAGTCTTGGATGTATTATTTTTCGGTTGTGAAACAAGTTGCCTTATGTCTTGTTTTCGATTTTGATTCATAATAGAAGTATTAATAGATGAAGTCATGTTGACATTATATTTATCACTAGATTGAATAGGCTTTACCATTTTTTTTTTTTTAATTCGAAAGAATATTATAATTTTATATATCAATATTATTAATATATATTTTTTTAAAAAAAAAAAAAAATTTCAGACAAAAAAATTTGGAATCGGTCATCTATTTATTGAAAAAATAAATATGTCACACGACTAACCACGTGATCATTTGATTAATAATCACAAACAATTACTGCTACGTATTCGTATTATTCATTAATCGCAATTTTCAACTTTTTTGACTAGAACACCAAATGGTTTTAATTCGTTTTCACAAGGAGAAACCCAATATTCATCAAGTCGATCATTCCTGATATCAAATCTCTTGATTTTAACCAAAGACTTTTCTTTAACCAAATGTTGAAAAATCACCTTATATTTTTCACCTTTAAAATAAAATATTTTGCTGTATAACTCTGCCAGTTTTAAATCTGGCGTTGTAAAGATGCCGTCAGAAAATTTAATTAAATTATTAAGATTTTGTGGATGAGGACGAGGATGAGAAAGATGATTTTCTTGGTGTTGTAATTGTCTAAGGAGAATATTTCCTTGATTTGCAATTGAATTGTGTTTGAACCTTGATGTTCCATGATAAGAAATCTTCCAGTCTTTAGAAATTATTTGTTTATTGTCTATTGCAAATTTTATCCAATTACATTGTGATGATGAAGATGAGTATTTATTGTCACCAAAATCATTATATAATGTAAAAGCATTATCATATAATTTATTTATAAAATTTGGATTAATAAATCTCTTGAATATGATATTTTTCTTCTTCTTATCTTTCTTATCCTTAAAATAAGAAGGTGATGGTGAAAATGGCAAAAGGTCTAAATGCAATACGCTATTTTTCTTGATTCCATAATATTGTAAATCTTTATCTCCATCAGTAACCTTTCTTCCATTAAATACAATTTTTTGTATAATTGGATCGGCTCTCAAAATATTTTTAATCCTTAAATTTAATTCTTTGATAGTTGTGTTTCTATATAAGTCTTTTAAATGTAAAGCTCTTCCATAAAATTTTTTTATTTTTATATTAAATGGACCATCATTGTTATTGTTGTTATTGTGATTATAATATAGTTGTTGATTTTTGTCTAAAGATAATTTGTCACCTATTAAATTTAGCTTATAAATTTCATCAAATTTAACTTCTTGCCAAATATTTTTTACGTTGTCGTTATCATCATCATCATCATTATCAACTTCATAGTTGTAAATCGGATATTTCATAATGGATGAGAATGCTGAAACCAACAAATTTGAATTATCATCTTCTACTATTGGTGATGATCCAAAGAAATAATCATCAGCTTCTTCGCTACTATTAGAGAATAGACAATATTCTTTATAACAATAATTTTTATTATTATATTGTAACTGTTCGTCAAACTTGAAAACTATATAAAGTCCTAAAAACGATAAAATTAATGACAAACATAATAATAATGGTAAAATAATATTATTATTCATTTTTTTTTTTGCAAGAGGAAAAGAGAGGGAAAAATTTTATTTGATTTTTCCAATTTTAGCCAATTATTTGAAAATCACACCATAGATGTATACTATTATTCACCAATTACTGCTTTTAAAATTTATTTTTGATTTATATTTGTTTTTGTTACAACTATCAATATATAAAAATTAGGGAATTGGGAAAAGTGAATATATATATATATATATTTAAATTAATTATTATTTTTTATTATGTATAAATTTATCTATTACTATCTTTGATTGCATGTGAAACTGATATTGGAACTATGTAAATCATAATAAAAAATAAAAATGTTCAATTAGCAAAAGATCATAATCAGATAAATATGAAATAAAAAAATGATAAAAATTTACTTACCAACAATAATGACAATTACTATCAAAAATGCAATTAAACCAAATGCAAACCATCTGCGTTTTGTAACATCTTTATACCAAGGTCCATGTGGTTTCCAAGGTTCAGTATTTTCTTCCACACTACGAGTTTCATATTGTTGTAAACTTAAATCATTACTATTGTTATTATAAATATTACTGCTATTAACATTAAATTGATTACTATTGCTGTTAGATTCAAGATCACGATTTGTGTCTAAAGAAAATAAATAAAAAATTTTTTAGCTAAAAATCAATTTTTTCTTTCAAAATTTTTATCATCTCCATCCGTAATAATAAAATAATAACCCTGAACATTTTTATTATTTCCAGTATCATCATTTATTTGAAACTGTATAGTTTTTTCATCATTAGTTATTTTATTATCTTTTGATGAAGAATCAGTTGTAGTTGTGTTGAATATGTCTTGTTTTACTTCACTCATAATGAAAATTTAAATTTTAAAATGGTTTTTTTAGAAAATATTTTAAGAGAAAATACTTTTTAGAAAAATAACTATTTTTTCATATTAATATAGAAAAAAAAATAACGCCCCATTTAATTTTTGATCTGGGAAGTTACACGGACGGTTTCTCAATTTTCTCACCCATTTAAATAGTAATGGTTTTAATTTATAAAAAAGAAGAGGCGTTTTTATTTTGAAAGAAATATACGGAAAAACATGTAGTTTAATTTCTCCCACGATAATTATTCTTGTATCATTGCGGTAAAATAATTCTTTATTCTTTATTCATCTCCGAACCAGGGCTGGCAGCGTAAAGGGATTAAAAACCTAATTTAGTAACAATCATCTTGATGACTAAATAGTTTAGTCAGTTTAGCCAAATGCTCATTTGAGTTACGACACATTTTTTTAAACTTTTGATAATCTTATTTTATCATTATCATTATTGCTGCTTGTATCAAATGTTTTTACTTACATCAAGCGCTTTTACTTACGTCGATTACGTCAAGTGGTCTTACTTATGTCAAGGGCTTAGTCAAATCATCAAAATGGGTCCTGATAAGAAACTACCCTTAGCCAGTATTTTAGTTACGTCAACGACTAAAGTCAAAAATTTCGTCATACATCATTACCTACAACTCAGTTTAAATCTATTAGTCAAAAAATCAATTAATTTGTATTTTTTGATGTTAATCCCAACCACAGGAAAGAATTAGAATAGTTCAATTCCATTTTATTTGTCTATTTGAGTGATCATTTGGTATACTTACAACTTTAACCAACTTGCATATCTTTTTTCTTATTATCACCACCTTTTATGCTATGTGGTCAATTCACTGGTTTGTTTACTCATCTATTCATTTTGTTCTGAACTAAATTTTTATTTTTTACTATATATTTATAAATTTTCGTAATGAACACTCGCATTTACTTCAATGAACATCATTAAAGAAAATCTGGTTTTGAAGACCACGCAGATATGAATTTTGTGAATATCATGGTAACTAGAAAGATAGCTGGATAAATAAATAGATAAACAGATACAGATAAACAAGGTATAAAACTGGATTTTTATTAATTGACCGACTTTACAATGTATTTTATACAAAAGACTCCGAAACAGCTGCAAGTGCGGCAAAAAATTTAAATAATGCATAAGTTGGAGGGCGTCAACTATAGTGTTACTATTACAACCCGTTAAGACTTTATCCGGATGAAAAAAAATCCAAATGGATTCTTTAACAGTCCATAAAGTTAAACCGGTGGATAATGATCCAGCCACTACATCTAATTCAACAAACATCACGTCAAAATGTTAGAATGAATTCAGAAAGAATCACATCCAACTTCTCGGGATACTTTACATTATGAAGGTTCTGAGCATTTATTTTTTGAAAAAATTACATATAATTATTTAAATATGCAAAATTTAGTTGTAAACTCACGCATTATTGGCACAAAATCTCCAACTTTGTTTTAAATAATATCAAAATATAATTTACCTCCTAACTACTACAACGACAGCAATAACGATATTACTAGTTTACATAATTAATTACTCACTGTATTGTGATAGCGATTAACATACAAAACTCTGTGAGTGCAGACTCAAACTCATCCAATTGCTATACAAAACTCTAATCCTCTTGGTCACGCCCAAGTATGGCTCTCAACGTATCCCTAACATGTTCACTTCAATTTCCTCAGAAACTAATAATTCAACAATTAATGCAACAACCTCCTCCAATGCGACAACCACTCATTCAACGACTACCGATGCAACAAGCTATTGGAATACCAGTAATAAATACTGGGATAGTTAATCCCTCGCAGTCTATTGCAGCAACAGGAGATATTGATAATATGAGTAGACTATAAAAAATTCTTTGATCAACTTTAATTATAAAGATAATTGTTAACTTTTTATCTCTGTTTAAAATCGCAATTCAAAATCATTTTTAAATTTATGTATATATGTATTTAATAATGTAGTCATTACTATTACAAATTCTAAATCTAACTCAGCACAGATTGGGTTGTTAATAAAATAACTTAAAAAAAAATTTTCCCGTGACCTTTTCACATAATTGTTTTTACTTCAAGCTAGACCGACGTAAGTTAAAATTATAATAATACGTCCATTCAATACATACATAGGTACATTACATTATTTTATTCTGTGATTATTATTGCGCAGGTAAACTTGATAAGTTGGCCCTCTCAATCAATTCCGACTTATCGAATTTACCTGTGTATTTTTGATTCTTGATTTAAACGAATTTTCTTAATTGATTGAGAAAAAGATAAGAAATTTCAACATATCTCAATTATGAAGACCATTTATATAAAAAAAAAGAAAATGCAATATCAAAATTTTGACAGGCACATGTTTTCAAGATACTCTGGGACATCAAATACATTCTGAATGTTTTACATAGCCTTTGGCGGAACACAAACTTCTTTTCACCAAGTTGACAAGTTTGATGTAGTTCATGCATCTTCTCTCTAATAGTATCCCAACATGGTTTGTTGTTCTCCAGCAACATCCAACTTATGCTCATTATAAGTTAACCAAAAAATAAGGAAAAAATGAATGGCTTTAAGAATTTAATTGGAATTCCAAATATATAAATACAGATGTGTATTATTTTACACCAGTGACAACCTTGGAGAATTTATCAATGTCTGGATATACAACAAATCCTGTTTTGCCTGTCTCATTTCTTGCTCATAAAATATTATCTTTCTCCCCATCTTCTTTCGAAATATAGAAAATATTTTGAATCCCAAAACAGAAACGTATGATGTCAGTTTAAAGAAGTATATAAGGTAAAAAAGTTTTGATATTACTATAGCTGATTTAATCAAAATTTAAAAATACATCATTTATGCTATATTATTTTATTAATAATAGCAATTATTCAGATGCAGGTTTTTCTCTATTACGGGGCAACATATCAAAATCACCTATTTTCAATTTCAATAATTCATATAAATAAATAAGTTGAAAAGCCTTAACCTTAAAAAGATTATTTCTATTAAAAATAAAATTATTTACCATCGGTTGTGTCAGTGTTCATTGCTTTAATCCAATCGATTTCTATACTAAAAGGACCGTGTTGATCCAATATACTAATCCCAACAGTTTTAACCTTTTCACGATACATTGCTATCTGTGGTTCTTGTATTATTCCATGATTTGTCAAAATAAAATCTCTAAATGGAATCTTTTGAGAAAAAGAGAAAGTAAAAATATTAATCAATCAATCAACCGATCGATCAATTAATTAATTATAAAAAGAAGATAAAATTTACCATGACAGTTTCCCAATCACCGGGTTTTCTTAGGAATAAGCGATGTTGAAACAAATCAGTTTGAACTGGACCATCAGTTTGCAAGTTTATATAATATTTTTTATAATCTCCTTTTACTCTTAATGCTAAATATCTAAATAAAGTTGTATCCCACATTGGCGTACCAAATATTGTAACTCCACGAACCTATAAAATTGCCCAAATTTTATTGTCAACATTTCTGTTAATATTACTTGATATTTATATCCATATAATCGTAAGATTGCTTACCTTTGATCTAATAGCAGCATAACCACTTTTTTCATATTTATAATTTGGTGGTAGATCAAGTGATACATAACCATGAAATCTACCTTTATTTTCAGGAGTAATTTCTAATTTTGCCTCTGATAGACCTTTATTTAAAATACACATTATATATGTATGTATATGTATATGTATATATATATATATATTCCCCCACAAAACAAAAAAAAATAAAGAAATAGACAAATATATAATATGTACACGTATGTATAATAGTTTTTTCTTTAAATAAAAAAAATCATGTTGTGTATCTACCACCAATATCTTTATCAGAACCAACTAACCACTGTCCTAAATCTTCTTGATCATTCAATTTCAACATCTTCATTTCTTTATCCCACGGAATAGGATTCGCTCTTAGAACTATATTATATAATTGAGAAAGTTATATTGAAATTATAGTCATAAAGATTGAAAAAATTAAATATTATTAATTACTTTTAGTTCCTTCTTCTTTTGCAACTTCAATTGAACGTCTTATAAAACTAAGCATTCTTAAATTTTTGAAATAAAAAGTTTGAAAAAATTTCCCAAATATTTATATCATCCAGATCAGCCAATTAGAAGTCAAGTTCATGCAGATCGCAAAGATCAGACTGATTTGTATATGGGACATGTTGCAACAACCAGACAAAAGTGAACATTGGATATTACAGGGATCAATGAAGAAATTATTATCATGCACAAATATAACAGCTTGATAGCTTGATTGACATAGTGGTGTGGCCTTGCAATTTTTTTATTGTATATTTTAAATATAATTAATTATGCATGTTTAATAAAGCAAATATGACTTTATCATTTCCTTGTATGTGAATGTCTCCATCCATCAAATATTCATGATGGTCATGATCATTATGCAATACATTCAATTGCACCACTCAGGTAGTAATAATACCAAGGCCATGCATAAATGAAACTCTTCACAATGTGTGTCTACCCAGATCTCTGGGATTCACAAGAATAAATGAATAGGGAGGAGGATCAAAAAAAATTATTTTTCCTGATTATCAATTATGGTTCCTTATGAATAATAAACCTGATGTTGATCACAGGTGTCAGATTTAATTAAATTTTCCTATCACAAACAAGCAAACGTCGTGCTTTCACACGCCTCATAACTGTGGATTTTTTCCCACGGGTGAAACAATTGAACAAGTTGGTAGGCTTTGGACAAACCTTTTCTTAAATTATAGTAATATTATTGATTACAAAAAGCAAAAGCAAAATACCAATCATTCATTTGTTTCATCTTGATAAGGATCTTATAATTACCCAGCAGGATCTGCTCCGCGTTTTGATTCCAATTAAATATTTATAACTAAAGGACGCCACATTATAACCTATGGTTAGTTATTAACACTTCTTCTTTGGGAGAGTCAAACCATACCCAAATAACATCAATCACGTTTTGCCATTGAAAAATAAATGGTTTTCCAAAAAAAATCGATTCGCGTCAATAAAAAAAAGTTTAAATTGGATTGGTTATTTAATATTAATATCATTTAAAGGCAATGACAATATTTTTGGATGTGAACTTAATAGTTATCTATCTTTTTTTTTTATTGTCAAGCAAGATCTTCAGGCATATATTTGTTTATTTAGATACTAATACTATATGTTCATTACATACATGTTAGCCAAAATTACTTTTGTTAATAAATGCCAAAATAGTTATATATATAGACACTTAATCGTCACATGATTATCATATTATTACAATTATTGGCTGCAGCCACGTGATGATTAAGTATCAATTCATTATATTTCTTTTGTTCCTCTCAAGTTTAGATCTCGATTTTCAAACTTTGATATTAAAATCCAATGTAATATAAACAATTTATATAATTATATAATAAAAATACTTTATTATTGTATAATAATTACTTTCAGTAGTATCTTTTAAATTTTTTAAAGTTTAATCCAAATTTGTTTCAAGACCAACAAGAAGACTATTTTTTTGTTCTTTAGCATTAAATTCGTCTTGTGCTTTCTTTAACCCTTCTTTTAATCCTTCACCATGAGCAACAGCAGTACCATCATCTTTAAGCTCTTTATATATAAATGATCGGTAATTCACGTTTGTATAATATTATATTAAAAAGATATAATTATGTTTATTAACATATTATATTTATTAATAAGTTATTTATCTCCTTAATTATCTATTAATCTTTTTAAAAACTTTCAAAAAAAAAGAAAATATCAATTTTTGAAAAAAGCCATTTATATATTCGTATTATGCAGATTATTTGAATCCCAATTGGTCTTTATAATAATCAGTTAATATTTTACTTCGTCTTCTATTTTCTTATATTAAGCTTAATACATCATCATCACTCATCCATCATAATTTTGATGAATTCCTCCTCATTTACTATTAATTATATATATTTATTATTATTATTATTATTATTATTATTATTATTATTATTATTTATGATTTTCTATTATTATTTATTATTGAAGAAAACAAACTTACTTTCACCATCTTCATCAAAATCAAATTCATCAATCATAGATTGAAGTTCATCTTCATCTATATTCTCACCTAACTCTTTAGCAACTCTTTTCAAATTTTCTAATGAAATTTTTCCTGTGCCATCATCATCAAATAATTGGAATGCTCTTTTAATCTCATCTAAAGGATCTCTATTTAAAATTCTTTCGGACACTAATAAATATATATATCAATAGATGAAAATAGATTTATGTTTATATTTTCTATATAAATGATAATAGACTAAAAAAAGAAAAATACTCACTAACTTTATAAAAATCATCATATGAAATAAGCCCTTCACCAGTTTTATCATGTTGACGTATAATTTTTAATATTTCAGGTTTTTTTTCATCAAATCCTAAGGCTCGCATAGTTACCTTGTTTAAGAATGGAAGAATGAAATAAAAATTGTTAGTGAATTAATAATAGAGAATTTGTTGTGATTAAATCGTCATAATAATAATAATAATAATAATAATGACTTATTATTACCTTTAATTCATGAAAATCCAATGCATTATCTTTATCTGTATCAAATAATTCAAAAGCTTCTCTAATTTCCACTTTTAATTCCTCATTAACTTCATTTGTTACTGTGTTTTTTGATAATTATAATGATAATAATCAATCAAAATTTATTGTTATTTTACTATTTAATATTATGAATAAATTGTTTTACGATCGGTTAGCATTATTAATTACCAATGTTATTGTTATTTTTCTTCTTTTTAGTATTTGGTGTCAAATCATTTGATGTTGACAATTGTGGTGTTGATATTATTGTTGTTGTTGTTAATGCTGATGTTGGGATATTACTATTAGTAAAAAAGGATAAAAAGGAAACCAATTAATGCGAGATAAAATTTTAAATTTTTTAAAAAACTAAATAACCTCATGATAATTCGTATTATAATAATAATAAATAGACGAAAGAGATGAATAACTAAAATATGTAGTCACTGCTACGTGACGAAATTGAATTAAGAAGTACATACATACACTCGCATATTAAATTTTTTTATGTATTGTTTAAAATAGATATTTTATTTTTGGGAAAATTTGAAAATCAATATAAACTTATTGATAAAGTTATAAATGAAATGAAGGAACCTACAAGACCGATCTAAAAGATTTAATTAACAATTCGTGAATAAATCAGAGAAACGTCAATCGTTTAAAATTATGGGGGACTACCAAAAAATTATATATATATACAGTTCACTCTCTCAATAACGAACCTTCCTGTCATATATATATTCTTTGTGCCTTTGTTCACTATTACTATAGTATAGCAATAGGAGGAGACGTTCATTATATATATTAAACAAAGGTCAAAAAATTTTTATACCCAACAAAGGAAAAAATTTATTTCATAAGATACTATCTCATTATTTTTTTTTTCTTTGGATGACATCATCTATAAATTTTCTATTAACATCTGCGGTGGCTGTTAGTGGCCCTGATGGTTTGATAAAAGGTTAACTATATTATTATAAAAAATGTTTTTTACCTTGTAAGTATTTATTAAAAACTAACATGAAAATTGTATCTTTGACAATTTTTCTGCAAGTTTAACCTGTCAACAGAAATATCTTTTCAAAAAATTTTACAGTTTCAATAATTAATTATTAACGAAACTAATCATTGAAACCAATTACTATGTTATTGTTGTTGAATGATGTTATATCAAATGTGGTGGCTTTAACAATGATGATAAAAGAAAAAGAAAAATGTTTGATCAAAATATTTTTTCTAATCATAAAAAAAATTTAGTATGTGTTGTTCAATAACAGTAATCATACAAAAACATTTTACTTACTATACACCAATATTCGTATGCCTCCAAACTTTCAAAGACATTTTCATCAACAACAACTCCATTACTATATAAAATTTTTTGAAGTTCATGAAAGGCCAAAGGCATTACTTTTAACAATTCCTGTCAATCTCTTAGCATCTTACGATTATCCTTAATTACAGCATTTCCCACAACTTCTAGAGATCCTATATACATAGGATACTATTCCATTAATATTGACATTGAGTATCCCATCATGATATCGTCCTCTTGATTTAGACAAATCTAGTTGCTAATCACAACGCGTTGCAATGATTGCAACTACCACCATCATTCTTTTTAATAATAAATAATAACACTAGTTTTTTGCTGTTATAAATCCTTCTTTTTTTTAAAAAATAAAAAAAATGGTGTTATCGTCATACACGTATACACTAATCATTTAATTGCGCGTATGAGTTGTACAACACTATTGGCGATTGATTTTTTTGTTGCCACGATTGAAAAATTTTTTTTGGGAAAACAATTTATTTTTTACAAGATGAGGAAATGTGAATGTTGCTTGATATGACTCTCCTAAAAAGACAATATGTTGTTTATTAATTAACAGAAGGATACTATTTTTTTTTTTTGTGGGTCTTTTATTTTATAAAATGTCTTCTTGAAATCAAAATGCAGAGCAGAACTTGTTGTGTATTTAGGTATTTATCACAAGATTCTTGATAAATAAATAGATAATTGGTATCGTTTTGCTTTTCATATGATTAATGATAATAATATTAATATTAAAAATATTAAATGTCAAGGCAGTACAACTGTTACAGAAGAAATAGTTCAATATGTAATGTTTGATTATTGGAAATCTTACAGACATCAAAGCACACACACACGCTATCTTGAATGCTTTGTGGTCATTCTCACACGTTTCTCATGTTCACAAGGTTAATCTGACCAGCGTGCCCCGATTATACAATGATGTAACTAACTTTCAGGGGGGACATGGCTCTGGAGTTTATCTTCCCCTGGCAACACCTGGACTTGCATTACACGGATAAACATGCTGGCTGAAAAGTCACCTGTAACGATCCTACTTTTAGGGTAAAGATGACTGGCTCTGCAACCAAGAAGTTCCGATCCTGGAGGACTAGTATTAATAAAATAATTTATCATGTTAAGAAGTTCAAGAGAAATATTCTGTGAATTATGTAGTTTTTTTTTAATGCCACTCCACTATATCTTTTTATACCAAATTTATATTATTACCATTTAACCAAATAGCTTTTGTATATAGTTGCAAATCCACCTTCACCTATCTTTTCGATATTTATTAAGAAATCCATCAAAGATGATAAGCATAGTCATAATATTTTGTTTCGAGTTGTGCAATTCATCTAATGTTCCATTGCCACTAGTCCATCCTTCAATTAATAACTTTAGATCACATGATTGACACCATACTGGATAAGTATTATACCTTGGAGATTCTCCACATCTTTCTTGTCTTTCTTTTGAATATTCATCATTTTGAAGACTTCCATCTTCCAAGTAATGTGTGTAATGCATTACAGATATATTCTTTTGTAATTGGATCTTGCGTTAATCCATAAATTTTATATCACGAAACTTAATATATACAAATATCGCAAGTGCTGTTTACATAAAAAATCCTTTTAATTTGTTTTATTTACATGATATTTAATATTAATTGATTACATTTATATTATTTTATGATAATAATAATGATAAAGACTACGTAATCCACTCACTAAATATAGTGTTTTCAACCATTCCTTCAACTGCGTGTGATCCAACAGCTTTCT